GAGAGAGAGAGAGCGAGAGAGAGAGGATCGCCCATGATATTGGACGTCGCCGTGAAGAATGGCCGCTTTATCCACCGGAGAATGACGAGGCTAGCGGTTTGCAATAACGATGCGGCCTCGCCCCGCCCCGCCCCACGCCGCGCCGCGCCGCGCGGCAGAGCGCCCCGCTCCCTCATAGACTCCTGATTACCTCCGGCGGTGATAAAGTGACGCTGCCGAGCACCAGAAATGGGTTCTTTGGGGCGAGTATCAGGATTTCACGTTCTCTCCCCTCCGCCTCGATCAGAAGGAAGGACTCCTCAATTTGGACCACGCCATGACACAATTCATTTTACCTGTCGCCTATCTTACCCCCCCCCCCCCAATACGCACTTTGTCCACTGCGGAGACAGCAACATAACACAAAATCGCTTGGTGACGTGTGATTGAGAAGTGGTGCCTATTATTGTCATGTCGGCGTTTTACACCTTGGTTGCACACACTGGAAAAACAAAGGCACTAAACAACACCTTTCCCGGGGCACTAAGTCAAGGGCACAGTAGTACCTTTCCTGGGGCACTTAATTTTCGTGCCTTTCTAAAGGCACTAAACTTGTAAAGAAATCATAAGCAGCTAGCCAGCTAAAGGCGGGCTAAAGGTGTGAAAGGTCACGGTCACATTTAATGCCTTTGGAAAGGCTCTAAACTTAGTTAGTGCCTTTTAAAGGTAGGGATTCGCACCTTTGATTTTCCAGCAGTGCACCTTGGACAAGAGGACGCGTAGACTATGTCGTCCTTCTTAGAAATTCTTAGAAAAAGAGCTAATTTGTTTGGGAGCAAAACACAGTGCATTATGAAGATAGGCCCAGTACGTAAGAAAAGGACATCTAAAACTTACTCCTCTGCTGGTGTACCCTAGGAGGAAAAAAAAAGAAATAAGGCTATGAAACGGTATTTTAACTTGAGGAAAACTTTTAGACGTTTTTTTATTATTTCTACCTGTCCCATCTCAGTGTACGTGTATTAAGCTGTCATCTGCTCAAAACACAAGAAAGAAAGAAAGAAAGAAAGAAAGAAAGAAAGAAAGAAAGAAAGAAAGAAAGAAAGAAAGAAAGAGAGAAAGACGGAAGGAAAGAAATTGTCGATTTTGAAGAAAACGGAAAAAGTCAAGTCTTCCGCAGTGCATAACGCCGCCGCCGCTGCTGGGCCGTGCCTGCGCCCCACCATGGACTTCCAATAAGCCGGCGTGTTGGGGCGCGCGAGGCCTAATTCAAATCACGAAAACGTAATAAGGTCGAGACACTGTCGTTGTATTGTGATCTGGAATCACAACACAACACGTACGCGTGCGCACACGCACAGGCACACACACACACGCTTTGGCAGCCGGCCGTGGCGGCCACCAGCGCCATCTAGCGGCCAGGAGCCCAACCTGCTCGGGGGCCCCCCCACCGCGCTTTCGCGCTCCCTTTCTCCTTATTGCTTTTATTGAGGACGCCGTTCGCTTCAGCAGTTGTTCTTCCAACTGATAATATCACTGAACGCGGCCGCGCGGCGCTACGCCACCCCCGATACCAAAACGACATTAGTTGGACAATCTACTTTTCCTTCGAGGAGCAGGAGATTTTACAAGGGTGCAGTGTTTCTTTCCTACGTGGCCGCCGTCGCTGTGTTGCTCTTGCTGTTGCTCGCCGCTCCGCTTTAAATAGAATTGGGAGTGGGAGTGCGAGTGGGCGTGTGCGGCGGCCGCATCATCGATTGCCTTTTCACGTATGCCTTCAATCAATTACTCAACGAGAAGAGCCCACAGAAAGTGATTATTCTTGTCCTTTGGCGGGCGGTTCGTCATATGCATCGGCTCTTTCTCTGCTCTCGCTCGCTCACTCAATCGCTCTCTCACTCGCTTGCTCACTCTCCAGCGCAAGGAGGCGGTGGTTGACCGCCGCTATGGCGGCATGTAGTCCTTGCGGTCGGCCTTTCCTGCTGATACCGCAGAGTTACAAACTACCAGAGTAGACCGAGGCGGGGCGGCCTGCACAACAAGTCTGCTGCTGAGCGATCTCTCTCTCTCTCTCTCTCTCTCTCTCTCTCTCTCTCTCTCTCTCTCT